AAGTGGGAGAAAGAATGCGTGAGTGTCGCCCCTGCGGTGCTTACCTCTGGGACGAGGACTGATTTCCACCCGAGGTCTTCTGAATCATGTTCCCAGGCCTAGGGTTTTGGTGGTGGCGTAAGCGGCGGCAGCAGGAGCCTCTGTTCAGTCCATTCCGTTTCCTTTCTCTGCCCTTAAAATGCATGACGAGGCGTGCTGGACTCCAGGAGGCCGGTCATTCTTAGGAGACGGGGTGGCTTGGTGGTTGGGTGTGTGCGTTTGGTGTGACTGAATTAGAGATGTGTCCCTGTCGCTAACCTAGGAGCGCCGGGTGGCAGCCAAGCAGCTGGAGATGCAAAATAAACTCTGGGTCAAAGATGAGAAACTGAAACAACTGAAGGCTATTGTTACGGAACCCAAAGCCGAAAAGCCAGAGAGACCCTCTCGGGAGCGGGACCGGGAAAAAGGCACTCAAAGAGCTGTCTCCCCGTCACCAGTACCTGTAAGTTCTTCGTGGCTGGGGAGTCACGTGCACTAGAGAAAATCTGTTCAGGTTAGGTAACTTTCTAGGACGCTCCATTTGTTGTTTTAGATTACTTACTGTATTTCTCCACCTTCGCTATGTAAATATTTCTAAGTTTAGCCTAAACACAAATTTAGTGCAAATTCAGAGGAAAACATTGAGTAACTCAGTAAAAATAATTCTAACATGTGCTAAAATGACAGAATAGCAGTGAATTGTTTCTCTCGGTGTTTCAGTCTTGCTCATTAATTTCTCTTCCATTTTTTTAGCTTTCTAGTAACTATATTGCTCAGATTCCCACCGGCCAGCAGCTCCTGAGCCAGCCGCAGCTACGCAGGCGCTCTAACTCTTGCAGCAGCATTTCTGTAGCTTCCTGTATTTCGGAATGGGAGCAGAAAATGCCTCCGTACAGCACACCTGTCCGTGTCACCTCTATTGCAAGGCGTAGGCAGCAGGAGCCAGGACAAAGTAAAACTTGTGTCGTGTCAGACAGAAGGCGAGGCATGTACTGGACGGAAGGCAGGGAGGTGGTTCCCACACTGAGAAATGAGGTAGAGCTAGAAGAGGACCACTGCTGCAGGGTCAGTGCTGGTGTTCTCTGAAAGCATCGCAGCCGGAGCGTCGAAGCTTGGGGCTTGGTGGGGGCTTCTGTGACTTGATTCATTCAGAAAGTTCAATGGAAAGATGGGCGAACTCGAAATATAAACAAGGTCTAATCTTTCTGTTATTTACTTTGGAAAATCACCCTGAACTTGAGGCCTAGCTCTTCATCTGAAATAGCTATAACAAATCTGGCCACCGCGAGGCCGCCAGCGAACACGGGTCAGTGGGGCGCATCCCAGAGTAATCTGGGCTTTTCATTTGCATAAGCTAATGAGCAGCCACAAAATCAGCGCACGAGTGTCTCAGAGCACATTTTCCCTTTTTTCCTTGTTTTCCTTCCTCAGATTTTTTGCTGCTTTTGAACTTTTAATTTTCTCAAACTTCCTTTGAAAAGTTTCAAACTCAAAAGTTGAGTTACCTCTTACCTAGATTTACCAATTGTCATTTATATAGATATATAATCATTTTTTCCTTGAACTTCTGAAAGGAAGTCCCTACCCTCTGTGACACTTCATCCCTACTAAGGACATTGTCCTGTATAAACAGTCTTTATCAAATCTAAGAAAGTTAACATTAATTGAATAAATATCCTCTGTTTTTAATCTATGGTCCTAACAAAGTCAATGCCCTGCATGTGGTTATTATGTATCTTCAATTTTTTTTTTTTTTTTAAAGATTTTATTTATTTATTCATGAGAGACAGAGAGAGAGAGAGACAGAGGCAGAGGGAGAAGCAGGCTCCCCGCAGAGCAGGGAGCCCGATGCGGGACTCGATCCCAGGACCCTGGGATCATGACCTGAGCCGAAGGCAGACGCTTAACCGACTGAGCCACCCAGGCGTCCCAATCTTCAATCTCTTTTAATATAAAATAGTCTCCCGGCCACACACTTTTTTTGATTTTCATGACCTTGACTGTTTTTGAATAGTCCAGGCCTGTTGTTTTGTAACTACTGAAGGTTTGCATGTCCAGTAAATTGTTTTTAATCTCAAGACCTTTATCTCAACCTATAAGGGCTCGGCCTCAGTCAAGGGTGTTTAAAGAAATTCACGCTTAAATTCTCTTCTTAAGGATTAAAGTTTTTCCTTTGACTCTGAATAAATGGACCAAGTTAATATTGTGGATTTATATTTAGTAAAATCTTACTATAGTTCTTTTAGAATTTGTCTTTTAACAAATTAATCTAATAGTATTTTACTTTAGATTTCCTATAATTTAGGGTACAGATAAGCTTCATTGAGATGGCCTGCACTCCTGCTTATTAAGGGATAGTAATGAATTGCAAGGTATTTACCAAGACAACAGATGATTCTAAAGCCTAAGTTCTTTACTTTGCAAATTTTGCTTGAAAACTTTTTAGGGAGCAAATTATGGTGACTGGTCTTTCTGATCAACTCTAATAAATCCCCTTTATTTTTCATGAAAGTTTACAGAGTGAACACTGTTCAAGGCCTGCTTAAGCCTGGTCAACATTAATGTGGTATCTAATTCGGCTCTCAGATATTTAAGAGGATTTACTAGAGATCCTTTAACTTCTCACTTGAAATCAGATCTTTTTAGAAGTGCAGCAAAGTTTAGGCTAGTATCAACAACATATCTAGGTTTGTTTTGGCCAAAAATTATGTCAGGTGGGCTGAGTTTATACTTCAGTGAGGAAGAAGCTGTAAATATCTTTGATTCCATAAATGATAGTAGATTGTAACAATTATCTTTCTGAAGCTAGTTTCATAATACATTTATTGCTAAATGTGTTCAGGAAAACTATCACCTTTGCTAAATGCTCATGAGAGCCTGACTTTCTTGTTCAACATCAGGCCCCTTTAAGAGTGGAAAGTTTCCTGGGTTGCTGGAGGCGTGGGCACCTTCCGTGGCCAACTCTATGGCCCAGATTCTGTAGTAGCAATGACTTGTCACTAGCACTTCAGCTGTTGATTGTGATTACATAGGGGAAACGCTTCAGTTCTCCAAGACAGGCATCTTAAAGTTGGGATCTTCGTATGTGACCAGCTTGGAAATATTTGGCCTGTGACAGACTGTTTCATTTGCTGTCAGTTATACAAACAGGAGATGTATGAAGCAATGAGTTGTCTTTGGAACTATGTTCTGTATGTGAAATACTTTTTCTTGGACTGAATGTGCTAAATTTAACTTTCCCAGATTTACATGATAGTCAACTGGAAGCAACTAGTTTTTTATTGTATGAATTGATAGAGACTGATTTGATACTACATTTTTAGTTTGGTTCTTGGAATCTTTATGAAATGTTTGAGAAAAAAAATAGTTGGTATGTTTTAGCCATTACTGTATTTGAACTTGTCATGAAGTTCTATTTGAGATTTTAAGATCTCAAAGCAGTCAGAAGTACTTCATTTATATTCTCTTAATCATTTTATACATAGGTTTCTTATTATATCTTATGTTCTTTAGCATTTTGGCCCATACAGTCCATTAGTTTTTACTTATTTATTGTTTTCTTTGTATACGGAGTGTTTTCCTCTTTGTTTAGAGGCCCGTGGCATGTTTAGGGCTTTTATTGACCTCATTTGAAGTCTTTAACATAGTTGTGGACCTAACAGATTCCCTTACAATGGCAGGCACAAATAATGGTTTTGATAGGGAATATAAAATGAATTCTCTTGAATACCACCTACGCAGGAAAGCCTAGCAGCATAACCAGAAGTTTTCCTTCCATTGTTTTGCTGAAAGGGAAGCTCCCTGGTGTAGAATGTATAATAGACAAGCGGTATTAAAAGATGTTTGTTGGTCTTGTGCTTAAATACAAAGACAACATTTAACTTATCTGAGTAACATATTTAGCTTTTGAAAAGGCTTGTGCATTTGTTTTGATACTGTCATCAACTAACGTAGCCAAACCTGCTGCACTTCTAATAATACCCTTAAATTAATTCTGGGTTATGCTTGTTTCTTGATTCCTCTTTCAACCTGATCAGAACGCACCACCAGTTCGTCTCCGCCACAGACGATCTCGCTCTGCAGGAGACAGATGGGTAGATCATAAGCCTGCCTCTAACGTGCAAACTGAGACAGTCATGCAGCCACATGTCCCTCATGCCATCACAGTATCTGTTGCAAATGAAAAGGCACTAGCTAAGTGTGAGAAGTACATGCTGACCCACCAGGAACTAGCCTCCGATGGGGAGATTGAAACTAAACTAATCAAGGTAAAAACAAATTGACACAGGACGAAAAACACAGAAAGTCAACTTCGCAAAAAACCACTTACTCTTCTGTTCCTTTGATGACACACAGGCAGTGTCAACGAAGATAAATGGGTGTTGATACAACCTTTTTGTTTGTGTCTTAGAAAACTAAAGGAACTGCTCAGGCTCTAAATCTGCTAAACTAGGACTAAATCAGCTGCTCTCTAGTGAACAGTCTCAGATCCTCAGGATTCTGTTAGAGGAACTCCAGATCTATTATGTACTTGTAGAGTTAGTTTTAACCACTACTTTAAAAGTAAACCCAAACAAAGAACTCCTACCATTTGTCAGTTCCAGATAAAAAGCCCACGTTAAAATGTGACCTATCAACATTTCTTATTACTGAGCTACCCAGAGCCCTTTCCCTTCCCTCGCCTGTAGAAAAATTATCCTTTGATCAGAGAGTCAATGAATAATTGGGGAAGTAAAAGCCAACTGGAGAAAATTTAATTTAGAGGATGGTTCTTAATTATAACCAGAGTTACAAATATGACTGTAATATGAGGGAGGTGGTACCCAGAGGACAGTATAATGCCTTAGAACATTTAGAAATTTCTGGTAGATTTCTTGACCCTTGGTATTTTTAAATTATAGACTGAACAAAAAGGAATATTTTTTGCAACTTAAGAATGTTACTGATTATCTCTCACTAAACAAAAGAAGTCCGATGCAATATAATTTCTCAAGTATTTTAATAGCACAGTCTGCAGCACCATCTGGTTTTTGTGACTAGGACTTTATTTACTGTTTCATGGAGAATCTTAAGTTCAGTTTGAAATACATGTTTATCATTCAGGTATATCAAAGTATAATGCTGACCTTTTCTCTCGGCTTCAGGGTGATGTTTATAAAACAAGAGGTGGTGGACAGTCTGTTCAGTTTACGGATATTGAGACTTTAAAACAAGAATCGCCAACTGGGTGAGTGATCATCAGATGTATCTCTTCAGAGGGCTATAGCTTTCTTAGCTGCTTATTCTTGCAGAACACAATATCCTATAAGATGTAGCATTAATTATCTGAAAGAGTGTAGTGATATCCCATGTCTAGTATTTTTCCTGTTTTTCCACAGTCGAAAACGAAGATCTTCCACAGCAGCACCTGCCCCACCAGATGGTACAGAGTCGGAATGGACTGATGTAGAAACAAGGGTAGGGGTAAAAGTTAAATATTTGTCTGCTTCATGAAAGTTAGGGGCAACCTATTTTAAGCCCCCGGCTCCAGCTTCTCCTGCTCTCTGAAGCAGCTGAGGTCCGATCTGACATTGCCAGTGGGGCCTGTAGGCATGGTTCCCCGCGAACCTGCCAAGGTCCTCCTGTTTGTTTAGTCTGCTCCTACTGGAGCTCTCTGGCTCAAGGTTCCTGTTTTCAGTGTAGAGGGACAGGGCCCGAGGATCGAGTCAGAGAGCATCCCTGTAGAATAATAACAGTTCACATCAAATTGGTGGGAATGAATCTTCACAGAAGCACAGTGCCCTGTGGAACTGTTACTCACTGTTACTCCTGATGAGAGGCTCCTCTAGAAAGAGCATGGGAAGGGCAGATGGTGTTAGGAGGCCAAGCTCTGGCCCTGGTCACTAACCTTCTCAAGAAAATTACCTGCATGATCTCTAGAGACCCTTCCAGCTCACCAGCTTTGGGGCCTCTGTCAAATAAACTGCACGGATCTGGTATTTTAACGTAGGTGTCTCTGCTGCACTAGAAAGCAATGTGGGATTCCACCGGGGCTGAGCCCGTCTGAGCAGAACTGTGTTTATAGACTCTAGAGAGAGTAGCTGATCTTTTCCTCTTCTGTAATGTTCCTATTAGTGTTCTGTGGCTGTGGAGATGAGAGCAGGATCTCAGCTGGGACCTGGATATCAGCATCATGCACAACCCAAGTGAGTCCTGACTAATTGGGCCTTTCTGTGTGTGTTCTCCCTCCTCCAGTATTTCCACTATCACCGCTTCTCCCTACTATCCACTTCTAAGAGGACATATGTGGTTTCTGTTTACCCCTTGGACTATCTGGGTCCTCTAGCAGACTTCAACAGCAGGGCTGAGAACCTCAGAACGCGTGGTAAGAGCATTAACAGGAGGTGACGGAAGACTGCTCATGCTCATTGATACTCTGTTAGCACTCATAAAGCTCTCAGAGGCTGGACTGAGATCACCTGTAAAGAGGGAGGCTGGAGGCTTTAGTCAGGGATGACAGCTCTTCCGGTTCTTCATTCTTTCCGAACTTGCCTCTTGGTCTCGTTATAGTGTGAAGTGTTCACTAAAATAAAACGGAATGTGGAATTTATGGTAGGGGAAGGAATCACACTTTTCCTTCTATTAAAGCACATACCCAAGAGTCTGGTCTATTCATTTTCCATATTAGTAAAACCCCCTTTCAAATGTTTACCTATACAAATCTTTGTGTCCATTTTTAACACATGTATTCCTTAGGCAAGTTGGAAAATCACTGCAATAGGATGAAGGCAGGAATCCTGCTTATTAAATTTAATACTGGGTACATATATTTTATAACTGTTTCTTGCTTTCTCAGGATTTGAACTTTCTCACAGTAAAACCTGAGTTCTTGTAAAGCCTTTCCTAGGAGATCCAATTGCTATGAATATGTCACTGATTGCAACAGTCAATACTAAATGCTGGTTTTCACGTTTTAGGCGCAAGAAACCATGACCTGACAATCTCATTTGTGTTGGTGATTTCTCCAAAGCCATGCCAGGAGTCTTCTGAGTCATCTCGCAGCTTTGTTGACTATCACAGACCTCAGATACATCATACACTGGTGCAGATCAGAGATCCCCCTATGGTTCCAAAGATATCTAGGATTCAGCACACTTTTTATATTCCATGCCTTGCCATATGAACTTTTTAATAATGCTATTGTTTTGTATATTTCTTATATACTTAATAACTAATTCACACAAGTGTTTTGTCCTGGGTGATTAAGGAAAAATATATGTAGATCACACTTTTTTTTGTGACGTTTCCTGCTCTTGTCTGGATACTTAAAGTTTTATAAACAGAACAAATGCTGCTATAGATTAGCTTGCGAGAATGCACTTTAGACACATTTGACAATTCAAACTTTCAAAATAAGGATGTCAATAACTGGCTAATACTAAAGCCATTTTAGGAAGTTGTTTTGAATTTTGTATGTATATATCCACTTTCTGACCTTATAGATATGTGAAAAGAATTGAAATAAACACTAAGAAATACAGTTGTGTGACAGTCATTTAATGCATACTCCTAGCATCTAGCGTCATGCCTTGCATTGAGCTGATGCTCATTTGTTTCCCTCATCTTGGGGCTACCTGTTTTAAAGCACACAAAGGAACAGCTTCAAAACAGGGTACTTCTCCTGCCCAGGGACGCATTTCACCCCAGCAGCACAGCTTTGAGGAGGGACCTCCTTGACTGGGGAGAGGGAGAGGGAGAGGAAATGGAAACTAGAAGACTAGCAAAGGACATTGAAGGAACATTCCCTGCTATCTGCTTTGGGATTTCAGTAGGAGGTCCACACAAGGACCTCTGGGACTACCCTGTTTCAGGCTCCCCCTACCAGCCTGTAGGCAACCACAAAGCACGGTGCTAAGCCTACACTTCCCCTCATTCCCTACCTCTGTTGCCAGCTTCTGGACTGACTTTTTTTACATGTAGTCCTGAGTGCAGCTCCAGAACCAGCTCAGGTGAGGAGAAGCCAAAAACTTGAGCTATTGCACCACCTTCTGGGAAACAAAAGAAAGGTCTGCAATTGCCAATCTGTTGAACTATAACAAAGTAAACAACTAAGAGAAGTGTGCTATTTCAATGCAATGGCAGAGGTACATTTAATCAAGCACTATAAAAAATCATGGTAATATGGTATCAAAAAAAGAAATTCTCAAGCAACTGAACCAAAGGTGCAAAATATTGTGACTTAACTGACAAATAATTCAAAATAGCTATTATAAAGAAATTTGAAGCACATGAGTTTTATTATAAGCTCATCTATTTAGGAATAAAATTACTGAACAGGAGGTGTTTTTTTACCAAGGAGTTTGAAATTTTCAAAAAGAACCAGACAAGTTCTGGAGCTGACGAATTCAGTGAATGAGATAAAGAAATGCATTAGAGAGCTTAGGAAATAGGGCAGATCAGATTGAAGAAGGGATTTAGTGCTTGGAGGATAGGAATTTAGAAATGACCCAGGAGAGGAGAGCTTAGATTAAAAAAAATAAAAAAGAAGAAACCCCATAAGAGCGATCACGTATGATGAGAAAAATGTAATAGTCTACCAGAAGGAGAAGGGGAAAAGGGAGCAGAGAGTATATTTAGAGAAATAGAACAGAACTTCCCAAACCTGGGGAAGGAAGTGGAGAAGTCCAAGAAGCTAACAGAACACTATTATCTCAATGCAAAAAGATGATCTCCAAGACACATTATAATGAATCTGGGGTTTTTTTTTTTTTTTTTTTTAGTTTTTATTTATTTATTTGACAGAGACACAGCAAGTGAGGGAACACAAGCAGGGGGAGTGGGAGAGGAAGAAGCAGGCTTCCCGCAGAGCAGGGAGCCCGATGTGGGGCTCGATCCCAGGAATCATGACCTGAGCCGAAGGCAGACGCTTAACCGACTGAGCCACCCAGGCGCCCCTATAATGAATCTGTTTAAAAAAAAAAAAAAAAGGCACCCAGGAAACAAAGTAACCTACAGAGGAACCTCCATTAGCTTAATGATGGGTTTCTCAGAAATTCTACAGACCAGGAGGGAGTGGAATGACCCATTCAAAGTGCTGAAAAATAAAAACACTTTACCTGGCAAAGATATGCTTCAGCTAAGAAGGAGAAATAAAGGCTTTCCCTACTAAAACTGAGGGGGTTCACCACTAGATCTACCTTGCAAGAAATACTGAAATTTCTCCAAGCTGAAATGGAAAGATGCTAATTAGTGACATAAAAGCACATGAAATGACCTATACTCTAGACAAAGGTGAAAAACATTTAGAAAACTGTATATTAGAATGATGTGTTAACCACTTTATTATAATATAAAGGCTTAAGAGCAACAACAAAAAACTACCACCACTATAATTCCTCAATAATTCAAAGCAAAAAAAAAGGTAAACTATGACATAAAAAATATAAAAGGGGAGGAGTAAAAGGGTGGAAGCTTTATATGAAGATAAAGTGCTATCAGCATAAAAAGAGGACTCCTTAGATGTTTTATGTAAGCCACATGGTAATCACAAAGCAAAAATCTAGAGAAAAGTCACAAAACATAAAAAAAGGGAGACTGAGCAAATCATCATGAAAACCACCACGTTATAAAGGCAGACGGAAACATAGGGAAAAGAAACAATCAGAAGGCAAAATATAAGAGGCAGTAGTATTAAGTCCTTAAGATCAATAATTACTCAATATAAATGGATTGAATTCATCAATCAAAAGGCACAGAGTAGCTTGATGGATAAAAACAAGACCCATATGCTGCCTACAGGAAACTCATTTCAACTCTTAAAATACACACAGGCTCAAAGTGAAGGAATTAAGAGAATATTCCAGGCAAGCAGAAACCAAATGAAAGCAGGTACAAGTCAAGCCTAAAAACAAAAGGAGACAAAGAAGGTCATTATATACTGATAAAATGGTCAATACATCAGGAAGATACAACACAATGGTACATATATATGCACTCAACATTGGATCACCAAAATTTATTAAGCAAATACCAAAAGATCTAAAGGGAGAAACAGACAACAATACTGTTAGCAATAAATAAATCATCCAGGTAGAAAATCAACAAAGAAACTAAACTGAACTATAGAACAAAAGAACAGACATATGAGAGCATTCTATCCAACAGAGGCAGAATACACATTCTTCTTCAGTGCACATGAAATATTTTCCAGGACAGATGACATGATAGGGCACAAAACAAATCTCAGCAAATTTAAGAAGACTGAAACCACATCAACTATCTTTTCTTACCATAATGGTATGAAACTAGGAATCAACAAAAGGGAGACCGGAAAATTTACAAACATGTGGAAACCACACAACATACTTTTGAGCAACCAATGTGTCAAAGAAGAAATCAAAGGGGAAATAAAAAATCACCTTGAAACAAATGAAAATGGAAATACAGCATATCAAATCTTGCAGGATACAATAAAAGCAGTTCTGAGACAAAAGTTTATAGCAATAAATGCATACATTAAGGAATTAGAAAAGTCACAAATAACCTTTCCCCCAAAGAACAGAAGTTAGCAGAAAAAAGGAAATTATAAGGATCAGAGTAGAAATAAAGAAATAGGGACCAGAAAAACGGAAAGGATCAACAAAACTAAAAGCCAGTTCTTTGAAACAGTAAACAAAATCTTTAACCAGACTAAGGAAAAAAGAAAGACTCAAGAAATGAAAAAGGACACATTACAATTGATACTACAGAAATACATAGGACCATAAGAGACTACTATGAACAATTGTACATCAACAATTTAGACAACCTAGAAGAAATGAATAAATTTCTAGAAACACACAATCCACCAAGCCTGAGTCAGGAAGAAATAGAGTATCTGAAAGGATGAATAAGGAATAAAGGGATTGAATCAGTAATCAAAACCCTCCCAACACAGAAAACCTCAGGACCAGATGGCTTCACAGGCAAATTCTACCAAGCCTTCAAAGAAGAATTAACAGCAGTCCTTCTCAAACTCTTGCAAAAAGTTGAGGAGGTAGGGATCGTTCCAAACTCATTCTATAAGGCCAGATACCAAAGAGAGATAAGGACACCATAAGAAAACTAGATCAGTATCCCTGATGAATATAAATGCAAATATTCTCAACAAAATATTAGCAAACTGAATTTGAGAACACATAAAAAGAATTATACACCATGATCATGATCTTGGAGTCCCGGGATCGAGTCCCGCATCGGGCTCCCTGCTCAGCGGGGAGTCTGCTTCTCCCTCTGACCCTCCCCCCTCTCATGTGCTCTCTCTCTCAAATAAATAAAAATTAAAAAAATCTAAAAAAAAAAAAAAAATTATACACCATGACCAAATGGGATTTATCTCTGGGATGCAAGGATGGTTCAATATATGCCAGTCAATAAATGTAATATATCACATTAAAACAATGAAAGATAAAAATCATATGATCATCTTAATAGACACAGAAAAAGCAATCTGACAAAATACATACTTTCAATAGTAAAAACCCTTGGTAGACGGGATATAAATGGAACATAATAAAGGCCATATACAACAAACCCACAAATAACATCATACTCGGTGGAGGTAAAAATGAAAGCTTCTTCTCTAAGATCAGGACCAAGACTAGCATGTCCACTCTCAGCACTCTTATCCCATACAGTACTGGAAATCCTTGCCTGAGCGATTAGGCAAGACAAAGAACTAAAATCCATCCAAACTGAGAAGGACGAAGTAAAACTGTCACTATTTTTAGATGATAGGATTCTGTACACTGAAAATCCCAAGGCTCAACCAAAAAACTGTTGGAGCTAACCAATGATTTCAATAAAGTTGCAGGATACAAAACCAACATACTGAAATCAATTGCATTTCTATACACTAGGTATGAAACATCTGAAAAAGAAATAAACTTTTGCTGAGGGAATTTTGGGAAGATGGCAGAGGAGGAGAATCCTGAGCTTACCTTGTCCCATGAACACACTGCGACAACAGCTACATCTAAATGACTAACTCCAAAAATGACCTGAAGACTGACAGAACAGACCTTCCACAGCTAATCATCAGGAAGGCCACATCAGAAAGTGCAGGGGGGTGGAGACGGGGTTGGGAACCAGACCCCCAGTGTGACTAGCCACAGACAGGAAGAAGCGAGAGGATGAGATCTCACACCAGGCACGCCCAGCACTGGGGACGCACACTGGGGAAGAGGAGTCCCCATAACAACCGGCTTTGAAAACCAACAGGCCTTCAGCCCAGGAGCTTTAAAATTCAGAGGGCGGGTGATAGGAAACGGAGTCCCCACCCTTAAAGAGCCAATATACTAAATAACTTGGCTGGAGACACAGCATGAAAACAGCAGTCTGAAAAGCACCTAGGGTATACCTGAAAGAGATATCCTGACTAATTTTAGAATGTGTTTGGAGAGGTAGGGATCTGCAGGAGATTTCTCCAGGAACAAAAGTGCTGGTTCCCCAGCCTAGATGGCTGGATGCTTGCAGGAGCCAGCACTAAACTCTCCCTCTACTTTGCTAGCATTGCGTGCCCCTACCCCAGTGTTCTCCTGCAGATCCGCCCAATCCAACTGCCCGCCTCCCAGTATCCCTCCAAAGTGACTCCTGTCCTGAGGCATGGTGGAAATAAGCCCACGCACCAACATGCATGCAGTCCCTGCACTGAGCCTCTTAGCTGACTGTGCATGCAGCAAGCCCTGCCTGTCAGTGTGCCCACAGCTGTGGCAGAGAGGCTAAGTGCAGACAGCTGGACTGACTGCCGGCTCTGTCCACTAATGAAAGCCCCTCTGCTGCAGAGGCCTCGCAACAGCGGGGGAGTAAACGCCCAGGACGCCACAGCAGGCAATGCAGGCAGACTGCAGCTAGCGGGGCTGGAGGCGGTCACGGCTCAGCCACGAGAGGGCACCCAAGCCCACAAAGGGGATCCCTCTGGAGCACCTGGTTCTGTTGACCACGGGGGCACTGCACTACAGGGCACCACAGGACCTCGTCTACACAAGGCCACTATTTTAAAGACCAGGAG